CGTTTTTTTTATGCAGAAGATATATATTTTGACCGATATTGCCCATCTCTGAACTCGATCTAAGTTTGATAATAATATTATGATGTACCAAGTTTGGACCAAATCGGATACTCTCTTCGAGATTTATCGTGTGCACCATCCTGACAGACAGACATACGGACGGATGGACATCGCTAGATTGACTCCAAATGTCCTGAAACGGAGTTGGTCCTAAGAGACCTAGGGTCCGTTATTTCGATGAGTCACGTTTCAACCGTATAAAATGATATACATATACCCTCTGTAGTCATATAGCTGGGTACAAAAATTGTATATCCCAATGCATATAAAGTTTAAAAACTTTATTAAAAATCACTTCGAAAAGAAAAAGTTTACTTTCAAAAAAGATAATAATTAATATTTTTCCAACATTATTAATTATTTTATTACAAAAGTAAAGTGAAATTTATTGATTTAGTTTTTACGCTAAGCCATCCACAAATCCTCTCCCATCTCTACTCCAATGAAATGTCTAAACCATTAATAAACAAATATAACACTCAAAGAGCAATAGCGGCGGCGGCGGATACCATTCATTTGTTATAATTTCCAGTATTTTTCAATTAATGAAATATCTCTCATCTTTTCATCATCAACAGCAGCAGCATCATCATCAACGCCATGATAAATGAAGTGATTTCCACAGAAAATTTTCATTTTAATAATATTTTCCATTGAAACCTAAAACATGAATTAAGTGGCCAGCTTTGTTTGTCCTCTTTTGTTTTTCAAGAGGCTAATGCCCACTGAACGCTGAATGCGAGCAGACGACAACATGAAGGTTAATGGACCTGCCTGCAGCACCATAATGCCATACAGAAGCTCTAATATATCTCGCAAATCATGGTCGGAACACTGACTGTGGGATTTTCTTGCATGGAACATGGATGATAAATGATGACAGACAGAATGTATTATGAAAAATGTTTATTTCTGCTTCGGAACTTTAGAAAATATTTTTAAGTTTAGTTGAAAGCATATTGTAGCGATTAAAAAGAAGATAAAATAAGCTATAAAGTATTAGTCGGTTTTGCTGACAGATGTATACCCTCAGGCAATGTTCGAATAATTAAATATATTTCGCCTGCTGTTATGATAATTCAATTGATTGACCCTCTATGAAGTAGGCGCCGAAGAAATGGGCCAGTATTTTCACCTTCATATCGGGCCTAAATAAATGGGATATACAAATTTCGACGTGTCAGGCTTGGTCTATATCGACTTCTTCCTTCACTTTATTGGATACATGTTATCATTTTTAGAAAATGTTGAAATGTGCGTGAGGTAAAATATTTTGTTTCAAAATTTCCTCCTTTTGTATGCGTACCAGAATGAGTGGACAGTTATTGCACATCTCCGAGCTTGATCTAAGTTTGATAATAATATTACTATGTAGCAAGTTAGGACCAATTCGGATACTCCCTTCGAGCGTTATCGTGTGCAGCAGCCAGTCAAACAGACAGACGGACGGACGGACATTGCTAGATCGACTCCAAATGGCCTGAAACGGATTTCAATGAGGCTCTCAAATGATGACTTTCTAGCCATGTGGCTGAGGGTATAAAAATGCGAGGTAACACAAAAATATGTTGCGTAAGTTGATACTGCAAAATTTTTAGCTCATGTTTTACTGAAACAAATGAAAATGTTATGTGACGCAACTTTCCGAAATCAGATTACAAATTATTAATGAATATTGTAGGAGGGCCGCGATTAAACAAGTAAATAATCAATAAAGGTTATGCCCGATATCCTGCACAATATGTCTATAAGTAAAGAATTTCCGATTTCCATTACGAATTTAAAATACAAAATATCTGGAATTTCCCCTATATGAGGATTATGCCGCAACGTGGATCTGTTTAACCCATTTTAGGAGGTGAAAATGTGACTGAAGTGTTAAAAATACGAAACAAACTTTAAACAATTCCGTGGGAATATATTGCTTAGTAATCAAATATCAAATATAGTGAGGTGCCTATACAGCGTGAGATAAAATACTGCAACAAAGTCAAACGCCATAATTTTTATTTTTTTTTTCTACATTTTATTGAATAAAAGCAAAAAAATGTCGGAAATAGCATCAAATTTTAGAATAAGTTTATATTTGTTCGAATTGGTCTCCTTTGGCACGAATTATGGCCTTCACACGCTGCCCGAATGTTACTTTGCGGTATTTTGGCCCATTCTCGGCGAAGCGCTTGCTTGAGGTGTTCGACACTTTGGTATTTTTTAGTGCCAACTTTGCTTTCCAAAATACTCCAGAAACAATAGTCAAACGGATTGGTAAACGGAGATTTTGTTGCCCATTGTGTGCTGGAAATGAAGCCAAGAATCTCATTTTGTAACCATTCTTGGGTGGCGTGTGCTGAGTGAGATGGTGGTGTGACCTGTTGGAATGTCCAAGGTCTGCGGCCAAAATGTTTGCGTGCCCAAGGCTTTAATACACCCTCCATAATATTTTTGCGATAATATTCGGCATTTATTCTGATGCCACGGTCGATTAATACGAGCGGAGAGTGATCATCGACTGTTATGGTGACCCACACCATCACCATGGCCGGCGCTTGAATACTGGTGGCCAACCGAAGGTGCACATTTTCAGCTGACCTCTTTGGCAAGTAAACACGATAATTTTGTTTGTTAACAAACTGCTGGACAGCGAATATTTACTCATCGGAAAAAACCAAATTCGGCAGTTTACCACTCTCGGCCAAGCGAAACAACTCTTTAGCTCTTTTGAGTCTATTTTCTTTCTGTTGCGGTGTACGTTCTTGCACTTTTTGGAATTTCAATGGCTTCACCCCGATCTCATTTTTCAATATTTTCCGAATGGAATATTGCGATATGTTAACCTCACGAGCCATTTTTTGGCCACTGCGACGCGGGTTTCGATCTAGTCGCTTCTTTACTTTTCGAATCATTTCTGCTGATGTTGCTGTTTTTTCTTCAGTCCACTTCCATGACGTCGGGATACGTTACCAGCATCACAGAAACGAACGAGACACAAAAGATTTATTCACTTTTAAATGCTGTAGTGCTCTAAGGATAGCAACTTGTTGTGTCCCAGCCAAATATAAAGAAATCACACTATCACGCTTGGATTCCATCACGAATATTTTTTTTTCTGGAAAATTCTCACTAAAATGCTTTTGTTCGCTTGTAAACAATATAATGGGCAATCACTGGAATAATTTTAACAGCTGTCGGACGAGTGGATTGGAAATGACAGCAATTTTCCCGGTCAAAAATCAAACGCCGCATTTGGGTGGGACTGAAATGCATTATTTCAAAAACGAAATCTAACAGAATGGATTTGGTTCTAAGGGGGCTTCCAGGATATTGTAGTGTTGTAGGGTATTACATGGTCGGCTCACACGACTATAGCCTTTGTTGTTCAGCATTTTCCTAATAAAGTGAAATAGGGTTTAGATCGAAATTACCCAGAAAGTGCCAACATAGGTCCATGCTGCGTTGCACATACAGTTGTATCTTACGTTTTTATGGTAGAAAAGTGGTAAAAGGGCAAGTCTGGAACGGAATAAAACAAAACTACATATTGACTGAAAGAGGACAAGCTCACTTATCTTTTTGTGAATGCCTTAGGTGACCCAAAAGTACTAGACTAAAAAAATTCGAATTGGCCTAAAATATAGTAAATACGCTGAATACGCTACAGTGATATTGCCCTTTATTTAAAAGTTAAATCCTCCTTCCAAATAAAGATCTCTATCGATGATAGTTTTCGGGAAATAACAATTTCTCTCTCTCTCCCCAGAAACTAGCAAAAGGTAAGCATTTTCTGCAGTAGGATGAAAATATTAAAAGAAGAAGGTGCGCCACCCCTACATCTATCAAAAATTTCATATAATATTTTCGATTTTTAACTCCTTTATGTGATGAATAATAGTGGTGTATTCTACTTGCAATAATATATATTATCTTTGTAATATTTCTTATTGAAGCAGACAAAATCACAGAGCTTGTTAGCGGAATACGTGCCCTAAATATTTTGGTGACGATCTGACCAGTAGCATGATTGAAAGGTTAATTTGGGGCTAGATCAACTAAGCTCATGGAGAAATTGATTCGCATAAATATAATTATACTTTTAAGACAAAAGGCATCTTATAACACCCCTCCTAAATAGTGGTGCAGTATATAAAAAAGTCATATTTTTATTAACGCTGAACAACTCGTTGCCTTTATAACTTAAATATTCCGATGAGATTTCAACTCATATTTTATTTGACTGATAAATTCTTCACGAGTATTTTAACATTTCTTTTAGTTGTTTTTTTATTGGTTGTTATTTTTTTAAGTTAAAGCTTTTTAATCTTAACGTCATATTCCCCGGAATAATTTCCGCATAGGAATTACTAAAGATGCACACACGCACATACACGTATCCATGCAATTACTAGCAAAAAACCACAAGCAACGCACAAGCTGAGCAAAAAAGATGATGAACTTGGAAAACTACGTGCACATTTAATTTGCAATTTTCTTCACAAGCTGTAGCTACTATCGAAGTAGCCTGAAAGAGAACAAAAAAATGAAACTGAAGAATTTCATTGCATCTTTAAATGGTGGAAAAAAGTAAGCCATTGGTGCATTTAATGAGGAAACTTTTGGTATTTCATTTACTCGTTACGCCAAGGATGTGGTACACCACCACATTCACATTTTTTTTTTGGTTTTTGCTTTCGTTGCTGCTATCTACAAAGGAATATTTTGCAGATAGGAATGGAAGAGCAAAATTTAAATTAAAATAAAAATAACAAATGCATAAGAAAAGAAAAATTTAATGAGTTTTTATAAATAATTTATACGAAGTTTTTGGGCTAGACGCTACTTTTTAGGTAGGTGTGGATTGTTAGATTTTTGGTTTGAGATAATTTAAATTATATAACAATGAAATATGAAAAAATCTACTTTTAAAATAATAGCGATGTACTTACCTGTGTTCCAATGCTGAAAGAACAAAATGTAATCGGATGTTAGTAAAATCTTTGAAAAATATTCTTACAAAATTAACTTTTATAATATCATTTCAAGCCTTGAGAAAGTAAAGGGTTCAATATTTGTAGGTCAAGTGGACATATAATAGCATTGGTAAAAAATGTACTATTATAAATAAAAAAAAAACCCTTATTTAGAAATCCACAATTAGTGATGGTTTAAAAAAATTGAAAAGTCCACAAGTATAGGTCAGAAAAATATATGTCGCGTTTATAGTTATGGCAGACTTACTTAAGGCCATCCTTGGAAACAAGTTATCCCAGACATTTGCCATTCATAGGCATCCATTATTTGATAGGCTTTGTAAAAAAATATTTTAAAATACTTTGAACGCCTTCAAAGAAACATCTTCCTTTGAAAACATTAAATGAAATCATTCAAAATCTAGAATTCTTCCTCTGATAGATTTGATATGAAATTATTTAAAAATTCAAGATTTTTCCTCTGAATGCCTTTTAGGCATTCAATTCTTTATTTAAAAAATTTCGATTTCAAGAATTCTTCCATTGATATAATTTGAAAAAATATTATTTAAAAATATTCGATTCATCACGTGACGGCCTTTGGAAAAAAAAATATTTAAAAATCCATGATTCTCCTGCCATACGATACGATAAAAATACGATTCGTTCTCTGAGAGCTTTTGAAATGGAAATTATTGAAAAATCTGGGGTGTTTCATTTAATTGATTTTGAGGAAACCAATTATTTAAAAATCAACAATTTTTCTTCTGAAAGTCTTTAAATATACTTACAAATATACAATTCATCTGCCTTTGGTAAAAATATTTTAAAAATCCACGACTCTTCTGTCTTTGGAAAAAATATTTAAAAATCCACGATTATTCCTCCGATAGCCTTTAAAGAAATTTACTTAAAAATCTAAGATTCCGGTTCTTAAAGAATTTCAAGAAAATTTTTTAAAAATCCTATATTTACGCTATTTCTAATAGCCTATAAAAAAATCCTGAAAGACTATGGAGTCCTTTAAAATAATTGCCAAATCCAAAAATATAGTGCAGAGTCCTTCAAAATTTATTTGAGAATCTTTTAATGCACCATTAAGAAAAAAACTTGCAACATCTAAAAAAAAACCCGTTGAAAAATACCGCTGTACATTAAAATTTTAGAATATTAGGTGTAAGAGTTAGAAATGATCTCCAGCATAATTCTTCTGCCTTCGGAAAAATATTTAAAAATCCACGATAATTTCTCCGATAGCCTTTGAAGAAATTTATTTAAAAATCCACTATTCCGGCTCTCATAGAATTTAAAGAAAATTTTTTGAGAATCCAAAATGCTTCCTGTGATAGGCGCAATACTTTTTTTGATAGTCTATAACAAAAATTCCTGAAAGTCTATGGAGTCCTTCAAAATAAGTCCAAAATCCAAAAATATAGTGCAGAGTGCTTCAAAATTTATTTGCAAATTTATTAATCCGCCATTAAGAAAGAACTCGCAAAATCTAAAAAAATATATACGTTGAAAATTGCCGCTATACATTAAAAATTCCGAATATCAGGCGTAAGAGTTAGAACTCCAAACACCAAGTTTAAGATAATTCAGTTGAAAAATTAAGCTAAAATCGTCAAAATACCGAATAATGGTAGTACCTGTAATGTGGGGCCTATACGAATACGTTAATTTATATAGGTAGTTTTCTGTCATAGGAAGTAGTACCCAAATTCTCCGATAGCCTTTGAAGAAATTTATTTAAAAATCCACTATTCCGGCTCTCATAGAATTTAAAGAAAATTGTTTGAGAATCCAAAATGCTTCCTGTGATAGGCGCAATACTTTTTTTTGATAGCCTATAACAAAAATTCCTGAAAGTCTATGGAGTCCTTCAAAATAACTCCACAATCCAAAAATATAGTGCAGAGTGCTTCAAAATTTATTTGCAAATTTATTAATCCGCCATTAAGAAAGAACTCGCAAAATCTAAAAAAAATATATACGTTGAAAATTGCCGCTATACATTAAAAATTCCGAATATCAGGCGTAAGAGTTAGAACTCCAAACACCAAGTTTAAGATAATTCAGTTGAAAAATTAAGCTAAAATCGTCAAAATACCGAATAATGGTAGTACCTGTAATGTGGGGCCTATACGAATACTTTAATTTATATAGGTAGTTTTCTGTCATAGGAAGTAGTACCCAAATTCCGAATTGAAAAAAAATCCGTTTAATAGTGTGGCTTTAATCGTCAAAATACCGAATATTGGGGACTATACAAAAACTTGGACCTATATAGACATTGCTATGCACTATGAACACAAACTGGAAATTTACAGAAAAACAACCAAATCAATATTTCAATACTATGTCGGAGGGTATAAAAATAATGGCCCTTAAAAACAATATTAACAATCCATAAAACTTTAAATCTCCTATCATTGAAATAGGCCCGTGCAAAAAAATCATTAAAAATCAAAATCCTTGATAAAAAAAATTATTTTGAAAAATTAACGATAAAAAAATGATAAACGGTCCTTGAAGAAATATTTCAAAATAATTTCAAGATTCTTGGAAAAATATTATTTGTATATCTCTATTCTTGGGCAATTATTAAAATAACAGTCAAGAAAGTCCAAAAGTCGGGCGGGTTGAAAAAAACGGGTGAATATAATAAATCTATCCAATTTGGGCTGATATTACATATATTGCGGACAATAACTGTAAAATCGGATGAAGATGTACATCGAAGTTATATACAAATCTGAACCGATCTCGATCAAATTTGGCAGTGTTATTTTCAAGTTGTATCTGATGTTCGGTATCAAATATCATTGTTGTGGACTACGTATTACGCATGTGAGGGGCTTAAACCCGTAAATCGGGTGAAACTTGTGTAAGGGAGCTATTGCTATATCTGAACCGATTTTCACCAAAATTTGAAGTACTTCTTCTACGATAAATTTGTGCTGGTATTAGCCATTTGGTGCAAAACAAAGAAGATAGAGGATCAATTTATAAATGGGAGCTATATCCAAATCTGATCCGATCTCGATTAAAATTGACAGAGATATTTCTGGGCTGTATCTGTTACCAAAGATTAATTTTGTGGAGTGCATATCACGTATATGAGGAACTTAAAACCACAAATCGAATGAATCATATGTATGGAAGCTACACTAAATTTGAAGTACTTGTTTCTAGGATGAATTCCGTCAGAATTGCTAAAATTCTTTTCATTTGGGCAGATATTAGCCATATAATGCACAATAAACCTGATTCCGGTCAAAGATATATATTGGACCTATATCTAAATGTGTACCGATTCTCAACAATTTTTAAAGGGTTCGTCCTTGGGCCAAACAAATCGACTCAGAAAGTGATTCTATGAAGAACCTTAAAAGTAAGTCTTTAATTTGTTTTTAAAGGTTTACGAAAAAATTCAGGATTAGATTTCCAAACATTCTGGAAAGAATATTTTAAAAATAATACGAAAGTACCCGTGAAAATTAAATTTAAAAATATGTTATATTGAATTGATAGCACGTGAATTCTTAAAAAGGTATTATTGCTGGGTAATTTCTTAAAAATTATAGTGTCAGAAAAATTTAAATCTGGAAATACAAGTCAGGTAGACTTTATATTAAAAACAAGATATTTTACCGATGAAAGTAATGCACCTTTCATTCGACCTAAGCCTTCTATTTTTCTCCTATTCAATAAGGTCATCAAGTCACATAGTTTTCTTGCATATCTCAGCATAGTTTAACGCCATAGCGTCACTAATGCGTTAAATTGCAAAAGAGAAAAAAACCAACACCGAAAAGGCAATAGTTTCTCCTTCCTTAAAACAATTGCCACGAATGGTGCTCATTAAAATGTAGAGTTTCCTATTTTTTTGTGCGAAATTTTAAACTTTAATTAAAATCATATCATTATTATAATTTTGGCTCCAACAAAGGAATTCATTTTCCCAAAATCCTTTGCTCAACAGCAACTGTAGTTGCCTGCCATGCATTTTTAAGGTATTTCGTCCTCTACCCCTTTTAACTACTTTTTGTTCGTTCGACGACTCAACGTGATTATGCCAAACCAAAAGTATTTGCATAAATTATCCACATTTACAAGAGAAATAAGCATTAGGTCGCATTACGTAGTATTTGCATAAAAATTAGGTAAATGAATATTTAAGAAGACATAGGAGATGAGAAGAACAAGAAAGGATTTCATTATTACATTCATCGTCATCTGCAGGTCTCCGGGGAACAAAAAGACCAACACAATAATTGTAGCTATTCCCCAAAAGCTAGAAAGAATTAGTCAAGAGAACGAATGTGCATTTTGAAGGCAGGAAGGAGAAAAACGAAGAAAAAATTGAGCGGTCTCTTTCACGAAGTTGAAATCTGTAGGGAAAAATTAGAGAGAAGAAATATTTAAATATTTCACTACAACTGGAAATGGTACAGTAATTGTCATTGTTGTATAGTCCAATACGTATGTTAATGCCTGTACTTCAAAGGGTTACCATTTACACTATTGGTGTGTAGAGGTGAGTGATGTAAAAGGAGTGCAGCCAGTCACAACCAATTCGTTCAAACTTTGCACATCGTAATATTTTTTTGACACTTTGATAGAGTTCGAAGATGGGCAGTATCGCCCAACTCTTTCTGATAACTTGCTCAAAAACGCCAAAAAAATTGCAAAAGTTTTTAAGTATCCAATTGGGTTAAAAATTAAACCTTGTGTTGAACCTTCTGGTACATGTCCTACTAAAGTTTACATTTTTCAAAATGTATCATATATTTCGCACAGGGCGATGGAAGTGACCTATACAGTCCTCAAATGTGAAATGGAATATGGTATCTTGCCCACACCAAGTCAAAATATTAAATAATAATTAGAATAAATGTTTAAGGAAAATCATATATACCGTTGGTACCGCTTCTCATAAAACAATAACCACACATTACAAACTTTGCATGTCGTAATTTTCATATC